TTTGGAAACCAGTAGCAATTGTGTGCGATATCAATCTGGACACCACTGAAGTACATGAAATCAATTCCCAACACGACAGGAAAAGCAAGGTTCTGTTTTGTAGGATAACCGAAGGAATCATATAGGAGCGGTTACACAGGCGGAACTCCACCTCACTCCATCCAAGTGGTCGTTTAGCCGCCCCGTCAGCCAGATACAGTGGACCTTCTGTCCACGGCTTCAAGTTGTATTTTGGACCTTCAACCTCCTTCCACAGTTTCTCATTGAGCAGTGTGTAGGATGCCCCGGTGTCCAGGATGGCTCTTCCTGTCCATGGGGCCTATGGACAGGGGTAACACCAGCTGGTTGTGGTATTAACTGAAAGGAAGGGGATGTCGGCGGGGGGGCGTAGGCAGTGACTCTTGAGGTTTCAGCTCTGGTCAAAGCACCCAGAGTAGGATGGTCGTTCCTGCGAAGTGTGTTAGGGGTGTTGGCCTGTTGTTAATTGTGGTTTCTGGAAGGGTTTACTTGATACGGTCTTGGACATGTAGCTGAAGAATGTCCCTTTTGGCTACATCTCCAACAGAACATGGGAGGGGTCTTGGCTGGAGACTCTGGCTGTGGTTGATGATCGTCTTGGGTAACTGTCTGGGGTGTCTGTTTCTTTCTCTGTTCATATTGCTGTTGGCATTCTCTGTCCTTCTCGAACTGCTGTCCCAGGCGAACCAGTCCATCGACAGTGGTGACTCTTTCTCTGAGTTGACTGGCTAGTAGTGGGTTGATGTTCTTCAAGATCAACTTAATGACCTCTTCCTCCTCAATGCCAGGTTTCCCACCTTCTGCACAGGGAGTGATAACCGTATGCAAAGTCACGAATATTCTCATTCTCCCTTTGCACTCGATTCCTGACTCTTGTCTGCCAGCTCATCTGTGTAGTCCTCAGACAGAAATGCAGAGGAAAACTTGGCCTCAAAGTCAGCCCAGGAGGTAGTGGTGAGACGTGCCACATCCCACCAGTCTCGAGCTGTCCCATGCAACACATTCCTCAATGTGGCAAGGAGTTTCTTCGTCAGCCAGGGGATTGAGGGCAAGAAAGTCATGACATCTTTCCAGATACATTAGCGGATCAGGACTGTCATCCTTTTCCCAAAGGTGGGAAATTGCAATTTAATGGGCATCGCTCCCACATGACGTCTACTCAAATCACCATGAACAAAAGAGCTAGGAGGGATTGAGGAAGTAGAGGGTGAGGGAGTTATGGGACCATGAAAATGAACACCAGGATGCATGGTGGATTGCATCCTGCAAGGGGTGGCTGCAGCATGGCCTTGTCTTGGCTGTTCTGAGGTGCCCGCTTGGCCCTCAGTGGTCTGAACAGAAGTGGACACAAGAGAAGCTCTGTGCAAGGAGTTGTGCCTAATGGAGGCCATGTCAACAGACACATCATCCAACATTTTAACACAATTAGAGAGCGCTGTCTGCAAGTGGTCTACAGTGTTAACCAGGGGAGAAAATACAGAATTGACGTCCTTGAGGACCTCAGTGTGATGATGTTGCAGGCGCCACTGGAGAGTGGCAGTGAGTTGGCTTTGTTGGTAGTCAAACTGCCTGTCCATGGCACCCAGTAATTTCCTGTCTTCCACTCTCACTGAGCTCTGTCAGAGTGTGAGTTAGAGTACTCAGTGAGTTTCTGAATTCCATGGCACTCTGTTGTTGCTCTACACTCAGACATTTGAATTTATGATGGATTAGAGTTTGGAGATGTTGTTGAGTCTTACGAATATCAAGGATGTCACCTTGAAGTTGTAAGACTACAACCTCTGGAGATAAACCAGACAATGGAGGAAGATTGGGCGTCAGAGGGAGGGCTAGCTCAGTACCTTCACACAGATCCATGTCAATAAGTGAGTTACTAGTTAGACCTGTGGCCTGTGGTCCAGACCGAGCATTTAGATTCCCAGGGCTCTGGCCCACATCAACTCCATTATTTCCATTCACATTATGATTTGTATTGTTGGCTCGGTAGTCAGAATGGCCCTGTGTATTCCCATTGACAGGTAGGATATGGATGAGCTCATTTTCTTGTAGTGAATCCATTATTTTAATTCCACTCAAAAGATTTGCTTTGGTTAGTTCTCAATGTTGAGGTCCCATCTGGGGTGCCATTTTTTATGTAACGATTTTTGACTTGAGGCATTTATAGGGGTGCCAGGTAGGTTGTGCCTACCAGAGAAAGCATAGGTTTCTCCTTTTAGTTCGGGAGGGAATGAGTCCCATCTGGTCCGTCAAGTCACACCAATACAAAGGACTTATGTAAAAGTCAAGATGGAAATATACTTTTCATAAACCCCTAAAAACCTTGGAAAAAACTTCAAACAAGTGTATTCTTTTGCTTGGTTGTATTCACAACATAAATGATCACACCCCACCCACACACAACAATATAACAAATCAATGCACTTATGTTCATTTAGAAATGTCCTGTACCTCGGGCATAAAAAGAGTCCAGCCCGGTAAATAAGTTCCGTGGCTCAAGTGCCCTTAGTCCCCGCAACGCTTGTCCGTAGCATAAACCCAGTATATTCATACCCTCAAAATAACACTTATTTTGTAACACAACTATAAAGCGTATCAAAGACTACCCAAAGAATAATACGTCCTCACAACTACATAAATCACAGTATACATCACCCCCAAACAAAGGAAATACCGTATACAAAAAGTTGTAGTCAGTCGGTCAGTCAGACAATCCGCCAACAGCCCTCCAGCGGAGGAAAGGCCACGAAAACCAACGGAGAGTTGTAGTCCACAGCGCACAGAGTGGATCCAATCCTGGGTAAACTCGCTTTAAGGCCACAAAACACACTGTAAGGCAACCAAACAAACGTCATGGCGAAGCTTCATGAACTGAAGGTAGTACACATCCTCCTTCAGGTCTCAATCACAACTTCTCTTTTGCGCAGCTGATGCTGGCTATTTAATGGGGAATTAAAGGGGAAGCGCCCTATTAGAAGGAGAAGCCTTGAGACGGTTCAGAAATATTCAGGGCCGTCACAAGGGTGAGGGCTGCCTCTCCGGCTGTCTGGCAGTGTTTATTGTCCTGGAAGGGAATGCAGTGGGGAATGCCTAGAGTCTCTCTCCCAGCAAGGTGTGTTGTTGTATTGGGTTTTTACAACACTGCTTTCTTACAGAACTATCACCAACATTTCTTTCTTCTTACTTTTTGGTCTTACGCTTTCAGTGGTCAAAAAAACATGTCTATATATCTGTAAAAAAATAAAAAAACGTGGTCCTGCTGTCCTTCAGGGGGTGCTCTCCAACATGGCGTCCATAACAGACCTGGGAGGCTTCGACCCTGTGTGGCTGTTCATCGTAGTGGGAGGAGTCATGTTCATCCTGGGATTCGCTGGCTGCATCGGAGCGCTACGGGAAAACACCTTGCTGCTCAAATTTGTGAGTTTGAAATCCGTTTATACTGTTAATGGAATATGTTTTATTCCTCCTTAGAGAGTTCAACTCTTTCTTTCTTATATAGGCCTACTTAGTTTAATCTCTCTGTGGATGGTAAGGCTCTCTGTGGATGGTAAGGCTCTCTGTGGATGGTAAGGCTCTCTGTGGATGGTAAGGCTCTCTGTGGTTGGTAAGGCTCTCTGTGGATGGTAAGGCTCTCTGTGGATGGTAAGGCTCTCTGTGGATGGTAAGGCTCTCTGTGGATGGTAAGGCTCTCTGTGGATGGTAAGGCTCTGTGGATGGTAAGGCTCTCTGTGGATGGTAAGGCTCTCTGTGGATGGTAAGGCTCTCTGTGGTTGGTAAGGCTCTCTGTGGTTGGTAAGGCTCTCTGTGGATGGTAAGGCTCTCTGTGGATGGTAAGGTTCTCTGTGGATGGTAAGGCTGTGGCCTTGGACGATAACATGTTGAACCTCATGGTTCATCTCATTTCTACCTTCAGCTCTGCTATCCACACCTTTTGGGTGTGCAGTTCACTACTCACACCTTGGTTCACACCTTTTAGGTCTTCATGTAGGTGTTATGTAGAGGAGGGAAGCAGGGATGGATGGAGGGAGGGATGGAGGTACATGTTAGATTGATTCACAAAAATAACTCTAGCTTCGTTTGATCTGAAAGTTGAGGTCATTCATAGCAATTGGCTACTTACCGTAAATTAACACGTAGGATTGGTATTGATCTAGATGGGAAATAAGTAACCACTGGTTTATAAAAGCCTGAAACATCCATTACTAAGCATGTTCTCTAAACATCTTGATTCAGAGAAGATATGTCAGGTTCAACTTTGACAATTGTGTCTGAGTGACTTGGACAAACTGGGTCTCATAGCCAGCTGTCCCTCTGTGGCCATTACCTCCACTACTCTGTCCATTAGCTCCTGGCTGGCCAGCCTACAGAACAGGAGAGAGAAGAGATGGCTCCTGGCTGGCCAGCCTACAGAACAGGAGAGAGAAGAGATGGCTCCTGGCTGGCCAGCCTACAGAACAGGAGAGAGACAAGAGATGGCTCCTGGCTGGCCAGCCTACAGAACAGGAGAGAGACAAGAGATGGCTCCTGGCTGGCCAGCCTACAGAACAGGAGAGAGACGAGATGGCTCCTGGCTGGCCAGCCTACAGAACAGGATAGACAAGAGATGGCTCCTGGCTGGCCAGCCTACAGAACAGGAGAGAGACAAGAGATGGCTCCTGGCTGGCCAGCCTACAGAACAGGAGAGAGACGAGATGGCTCCTGGCTGGCCAGCCTACAGAACAGGAGAGAGAAGAGATGGCTCCTGGCTGGCCAGCCTACAGAACAGGAGAGAGACAAGAGATGGCTCCTGGCTGGCCAGCCTACAGAACAGGAGAGAGAGAAGAGATAGCTCCTGGCTGGCCAGCCTACAGAACAGGAGAGAGACGAGATGGCTCCTGGCTGGATCTACAGTGCTACAGAGCTGATGTGGCTTTTTGGTCTGTGAGAGACTGTATGACCCTCTAGGCATTTAACATAACCTGCTTTTTCCTCAACGTTTACAGTAAATGGATGATATAATGAAACACAAGAGGCCTGGGGCATCTCAACGCTGCTCCCAGCCAGTCAGTCAGTCCTGGGGTATCTCAACACTGCTCCCAGCCAGCCAGTCAGCCAGTCAGTCAGTCCTGGGGTATCTCAACACTGCTCCCAGCCAGCCAGTCAGCCAGTCAGTCAGTCCTGGGGTATCTCAACACTGCTCCCAGCCAGCCAGTCAGCCAGTCAGTCAGTCCTGGGGTATCTCAACACTGCTCTGAGTCAGTGAGTAAGCCATTCAGTCAGTGAGTAAGCCATTCAGTCAGGGAGTAAGCCATTCAGTCAGTGAGTAAGCCATTCAGTCAGCGAGTAAGCCATTCAGTCAGCGAGTAAGCCATTCAGTCAGCGAGTAAGCCATTCAGTCAGCGAGTAAGCCATTCAGTCAGTGAGTAAGCCATTCAGTCAGTGAGTAAGCCATTCAGTCAGTGAGTAAGCCATTCAGTCAGTGAGTAAGCCATTCAGTCAGCGAGTAAGCCATTCAGTCAGCGAGTAAGCCATTCAGTCAGCGAGTAAGCCATTCAGTCAGTGAGTAAGCCATTCAGTCAGTGAGTAAGCCATTCAGTCAGCGAGTAAGCCATTCAGTCAGTGAGTAAGCCATTCAGTCAGTGAGTAAGCCATTCAGTCAGCGAGTAAGCCATTCAGTCAGTGAGTAAGCCATTCAGTCAGTGAGTAAGCCATTCAGTCAGCGAGTAAGCCATTCAGTCAGCGAGTAAGCCATTCAGTCAGCGAGTAAGCCATTCAGTCAGCGAGTAAGCCATTCAGTCAGCGAGTAAGCCATTCAGTCAGCGAGTAAGCCATTCAGTCAGTGAGTAAGCCATTCAGTCAGTGAGTAAGCCATTCAGTCAGTGAGTAAGCCATTCAGTCAGTGAGTAAGCCATTCAGTCAGTGAGTAAGCCATTCAGTCAGCGAGTAAGCCATTCAGTCAGCGAGTAAGCCATTCAGTCAGCGAGTAAGCCATTCAGTCAGCGAGTGAGCCATTCAGTCAGTGAGTAAGCCATTCAGTCAGTGAGTAAGCCATTCAGTCAGTGAGTAAGCCATTCAGTCAGCGAGTAAGCCATTGTCAGTGAGTAAGCCATTCAGTCAGTGAGTAAGCCATTCAGTCAGTGAGTAAGCCATTCAGTCAGCGAGTAAGCCATTCAGTCAGCGAGTAAGCCATTCAGTCAGCGAGTAAGCCATTCAGTCAGCGAGTAAGCCATTCAGTCAGCGAGTAAGCCATTCAGTCAGTGAGTAAGCCATTCAGTCAGTGAGCCAGTCAGTCAGTGAGTAAGCCATTCAGTCAGTGAGCCAGTCAGTCAGTGAGCCAGTCAGCCAGTGAGCCAGTCAGTCAGTGAGCCATTCAGTCAGCGAGTAAGCCATTCAGTCAGCGAGTAAGCCATTCAGTCAGCGAGTAAGCCATTCAGTCAGCGAGTAAGCCATTCAGTCAGCGAGTAAGCCATTCAGTCAGCGAGTAAGCCATTCAGTCAGCGAGTAAGCCATTCAGTCAGTGAGTAAGCCATTCAGTCAGTGAGCCAGTCAGTCAGTGAGCCAGTCAGCCAGTCAGCCAGTGAGCCAGTGAGCCAGCCAGTCAGTCAGTCGGTGAGTCAGCCAGTCAGTCAGTCAGGCTATAAATGTACCTATTTCCGGGACAACATAGCTAATACAGTATTATAGAGATGCTGTTTTAGTTTACAGACATGGCCAGAACAGCACTGTAGAGGTGAAATGTGCGTATGTCCTATTTTCTCACATGTTCTAATGTTCTCTCTCTGTGTTCTAGTTCTCAGTGTTCCTGGGTCTGATCTTCTTCTTGGAGCTGAGAGCAGGCATCATGTTCTAATGTTCTAATGTGGATGGTATGGGGCGGCAGGTAGCTTAGTGGTTAAGAGCGTTGTACCAGTAACCGAAAGGTCGCTGGTTCTAATACCCGAGCCGACTAGGTGAAAAATCTGTCGATGTGCCCTTGAGCAAGGCACTTAACCCTAAATTGCTCCTGTAAGTCGCTCTGGATAAGAGCGTCTGCTAAATGACCAATTTATTTATTTATTTAATGTTCTCTCTCTGTGTTCTAGTTCTCAGTGTTCCTGGGTCTGATCTTCTTCTTGGAGCTGAGAGCAGGCATCATGTTCTAATGTTCTAATGTTCTCTCTCTGTGTTCTAGTTCTCAGTGTTCCTGGGTCTGATCTTCTTCTTAGAGCTGACAGCAGGCATCCTGACCTTTGTGTTTAAAGACTGGATCAAAGACCAGCTCAACTTCTTCATCAACAACAACGTCAAGGCCTACCGCGACGACATCGACCTGCAGAACCTCATAGACTTCACACAGGAATATGTCAGTTCTACTAGATGTGATAGAGTTAACAGGAATATGTCAGTTGTACTAGATGTGATAGAGTTAACAGGAATATGTCAGTTGTACTAGATGTTATAGAGTTAACAGGAATATGTCAGTTCTACTAGATGTTATAGAGTTAACAGGAATATGTCAGTTCTACTAGATGTGATAGAGTTAACAGGAATATGTCAGTTGTACTAGATGTTATAGAGTTAACAGGAATATGTCAGTTGTACTAGATGTTATAGAGTTAACAGGAATATGTCAGTTCTACTAGATGTTATAGAGTTAACAGGAATATGTCAGTAGTACTAGATGTTATAGAGTTAACAGGATTATGTCAGTTCTACTAGATGTTATAGAGTTAACAGGAATATGTCAGTTCTACTAGATGTTATAGAGTTAACAGGATTATGTCAGTTGTACTAGATGTTATAGAGTTAACAGGAATATGTCAGTTCTACTAGATGTTATAGAGTTAACAGGATTATGTCAGTTGTACTAGATGTTATAGAGTTAACAGGAATATGTCAGTTCTACTAGATGTTATAGAGTTAACAGGATTATGTCAGTTCTACTAGATGTTATAGAGTTAACAGGAATATGTCAGTTCTACTAGATGTTATAGAGTTAACAGGATTATGTCAGTTCTACTAGATGTTATAGAGTTAACAGGAATATGTCAGTTCTACTAGATGTTATAGAGTTAACAGGATTATGTGACAGGACAAGTGATAGGTGAAACTGTACTGGACAGGCAACATGTCTTGTACCTTTTGCTGTACTGGACTGTACAGGCAGACAGCGCCTTAACCTTGATTGGATTACTGTACAAATGCTGAAGCCAACCAGAGCCTGCCTCTTTATCATAGCAGACTTGGTTGTACTAAGACTTTATAAAGACTCATAGGTGCTCATAACGTGTAATAAAACCTTATTATGTGTGTTCTAGTGGTCGTGCTGTGGGGCCCACGGTCCCAATGACTGGAACCTGAATATCTACTTCAACTGCACTGAGTTTAACCCCAGTAGAGAGCGCTGTGGAGTCCCCTTCTCCTGTTGTGTCAAAGACCCTGCCGTAAGATGCCTTCCTGTGCTGTAGAACTACGTTATAAACCCTCAGACGTAGACCGTGTCGTAAGACTTTATTCAGACATTAACCATACATATTCTAGAGACCCTGCTGGAAGACCCACATTCTTCTGTTCTCATGATAGTTTTGCTTTCATTCGTTTCAGGAAGATGTCCTTAACACCCAGTGTGGCTACGACATGAGACTTCAAGGGGTTGGTATTTCTCTATGTGTTTTGCCGTCAGACCCAATCAGTCTTTTTAAAACCTTGCTGGCCATTATCCAGAGACGGAGAGAGAGAGGCGGCTGACATTTCAGCCTTCCCTCTGAACATCTAGCCAGGCATGGAAGTAAGGGGTTAAGTAGCTAGCTAGCTAGTGTTCAGGCTGCTCTCCTCCTCTCTTCCTTAATAACAGTGGGTTTTTCTTACAGTGCTGATTTAGACTCCAGTTATAGCCCTGGGAAGCATCACAGCACGACGCTCTATAGTTGGGGATTCAGTGGGTTATGCCTCCCTTGTGCGTGTGCGTGTGTGTGCGTGTGCGTGCGCGCACTCTCACTCTCAATACAGCTCTCAACCAGAGCACTGTTGCTATGCCTACTGTTATGTAGCCAAGGCCCAAATGGCTGACTATTTGCTGCCATTTTGTTAGTTTTCCCTACTGTGTACAGGCTTGTAGGCTTTGCTGTGAAAGTCTATTGAAACAAGCTGTGAGTTTGTTTGTGGAGTGTTTCGGGAGGGGGGGGTGGAGCAAGAAAATAGCAGAGATCATCAAAGAAAACACAAACTGAAATGGCTCTAGGGGAAGTTCGCTGTCACCATCGGAAACATTTCATTTCATTGGATGCCCAGGGATTCCGTTACCTCCCATTGGTGGGAGAGTTGGTTTCCAGGTTTTAGCTTTGGAACAAGGGAGTCCTTGGTGGAGTTTCTCTGTAGAGAGACAAAGACGAGCTCTGTGGGGGAGAACCTTTTGTTGCTGGAGCTCAACAGCTTGTGCTTCAGTAGACTTATATGGGAACAGAATAAAAGACAGCTTAACACAGTACACACACAGCTTCATCCACAGTATTCACACACAGCTTCATCCCCAGTATACACACAGCTTCATCCCCAGTATTCACACACAGCTTCATCCACAGTATACACACACAGCTTCATCCACAGTACACACACAGCTTCATCCCCAGTATTCACACACAGCTTCATCCACAGTACACACACAGCTTCATCCCCAGTATTCACACACAGCTTCATCCACAGTATACACACACAGCTTCATCCACAGTATACACACACAGCTTCATCCCCAGTACACACACACAGCTTCATCCCCAGTATACACACAGCTTCATCCCCAGTATTCACACACAGCTTCATCCCCAGTACACACACAGCTTCATCCCCAGTATTCACACACAGCTTCATCCACAGTATACACACACAGCTTCATCCCCAGTATACACACGCAGCTTCATCCCCAGTATACACACGCAGTTTCATCCCCAGTATTCACACGCAGCTTCATCTCCAGTACACACACAGCTTCATCCCCAGTACACACACAGCTTCATCCCCAGTATACACACGCAGCTTCATCCCCAGTATACACACACAGCTTCATCCCCAGTATTCACACGCAGCTTCATCCACAGTCCACACACAGCTTCATCCACAGTATACTCACAGCTTCATCCCCAGTATACACACACAGCTTCATCCCCAGTATACACACACAGCTTCATCCCCAGTATACACACACAGCTTCATCCCCAGTATACACACGCAGCTTCATCCCCAGTATTCACACGCAGCTTCATCCCCAGTATTCACACGCAGCTTCATCCCCAGAATACACACGCAGCTTCATCCCCAGTATACACACAGCTTCATCCCCAGTATACACACGCAGCTTCATCCCCAGTACACACACAGCTTCATCCCCAGTACACACACAGCTTCATCCCCAGTATTCACACGCAGCTTCATCCCCAGTATACACACGCAGCTTCATCCCCAGTATACACACAGCTTCATCCCCAGTATACACACGCAGCTTCATCCCCAGTACACACACAGCTTCATCCCCAGTACACACACAGCTTCATCCCCAGTATACACACACAGCTTCATCCCCAGTACACACACACAGCTTCATCCCCAGTATACACACAGCTTCATCCCCAGTATTCACACACAGCTTCATCCCCAGTACACACACAGCTTCATCCCCAGTATTCACACACAGCTTCATCCACAGTATACACACACAGCTTCATCCCCAGTATACACACGCAGCTTCATCCCCAGTATACACACGCAGTTTCATCCCCAGTATTCACACGCAGCTTCATCTCCAGTACACACACAGCTTCATCCCCAGTATTCACACACAGCTTCATCCCCAGTACACACACAGCTTCATCCCCAGTATTCACACACAGCTTCATCCCCAGTATTCACACACAGCTTCATCCCCAGTACACACACAGCTTCATCCCCAGTACACACACAGCTTCATCCCCAGTACACACACAGCTTCATCCCCAGTATACACACGCAGCTTCATCCCCAGTATACACACGCAGCTTCATCCCCAGTATTCACACGCAGCTTCATCCACAGTCCACACACAGCTTCATCCACAGTATACTCACAGCTTCATCCCCAGTATACACACACAGCTTCATCCCCAGTATACACACACAGCTTCATCCCCAGTATTCACACACAGCTTCATCCCCAGTATACACACGCAGCTTCATCCCCAGTATTCACACGCAGCTTCATCCCCAGTATTCACACACAGCTTCATCCCCAGTATACACACACAGCTTCATCCCCAGTATACACACACAGCTTTTTTTCCCAGTATACACACGCAGCTTCATCCCCAGTATACACACGCAGCTTCATCCACAGTACACACACAGCTTCATCCACAGTACACACACAGCTTCATCCCCAGTATACACACACAGCTTCATCCCCACTATTCACACACAGCTTCATCCACAGTATTCACACACAGCTTCATACCCAGTACACACACAGCTTCATCCACAGTATACACACAGCTTCATCCCCAGTATTCACACACAGCTTCATCCCCAGTATACACACACAGCTTCATCCACAGTACACACACAGCTTCATCCCCAGTATACACACAGCTTCATCCCCAGTACACACACAGCTTCATCCCCAGTATTCACACACAGCTTCATCCCCAGTATTCACACGCAGCTTCATCCCCAGTATTCACACGCAGCTTCATTCACAGTACACACACAGCTTCATCCCCAGTATTCACACGCAGCTTCATTCACAGTACACACACAGCTTCATCCCCAGTATTCACACACAGCTTCATCCACAGTATACACACACAGCTTCATCCCCAGTATATACACACAGCTTCATCCCCAGTATATACACGCAGCTTCATTCACAGTACACACACAGCTTCATTCACAGTACACACACAGCTTCATCCCCAGTATTCACACACAGCTTCATCCCCAGTATTCACACACAGCTTCATCCCCAGTATACACACGCAGCTTCATCCCCAGTATACACACACAGCTTCATCCCCAGTACACACACAGCTTCATCCCCAGTACACACACAGCTTCATCCCCAGTACACACACAGCTTCATCCCCAGTACACACACAGCTTCATCCCCAGTATACACACAGCTTCATCCCCAGTATTCACACACAGCTTCATCCCCAGTATTCACACACAGCTTCATCCCCAGTATTCACACACAGCTTCATCCCCAGTATTCACACACAGCTTCATCCCCAGTACACACACAGCTTCATCCCCAGTATTCACACACAGCTTCATCCCCAGTATTCACACACAGCTTCATCCCCAGTATTCACACACAGCTTCATCCCCAGTATTCACACACAGCTTCATCCCCAGTACACACACAGCTTCATCCCCAGTATTCACACACAGCTTCATCCCCAGTATTCACACACAGCTTCATCCCCAGTATTCACACACAGCTTCATCCCCAGTACACACACGCTAGGGCTGTCCCCGACCAACAAAAATCTTGGTCTACATAGTGTCGTCTGTTCTTTTTCCATATATAGACACAGCCGTCTGATGCTTTAAGCGAACTGTAAGATGAAATAATGAAGACACACGTATGACTAGAGGGAGTCCGACCTCCATTTCTTGTGCCAGGCCGGGCTCAGACTTGCTGCGCTTTGTTAAAAAAATGACAGCGAGTGACTGTAACTAACAGTATGGAGGTATGAAGGTAGTTTTGTGCCTAGCCAAAAAAGTGGTTAAATATGTGTAGTAAAATATATATATATCACCTAAATATAGGACAAACTCTTTAAAACCTTTGTCGTCGTGAATTACTTTTTGACTGTCTTTTTTTTGGCATTTATGAATGTGTTATTCAATGTGTTTCTCACGGCTATAGTAGTAAAGGCCAAATTCTATATTTTATAAAAATCATTACTTCATATTTTTTTTTTAATTACTTAAAATAGTTCCTAAAATTCTAAATAAAATAGCTAAATGATCTAACTTAGTCTCTCTATTAAACTGTCAACATTTCCTCCTCTTTCCAAGGGTGGTTTGATGCTCATGCAGCTAGTTGGTCAGCTAGCCTATAGGCTATGGCGCTTGATATGTGGACTTTATTTTATAAAATGCATGTTTTCATTGCTTGCTAGTGAATAAATATGTCTTCTTTAAAAAAAAAAAAAAAAAATTTTGGATGTGTCTGACTTCATGAATTATTCAACAGCAGTTGACAAGGTGTGTCTGACTTCATGAATTATTCAACAGCAGTTGACAAGGTGTGTCTGACTTCATGAATTATTCAACAGCAGTTGACAAGGTGTGTCTGACTTCATGAATTATTCAACAGCAGTTGACAAGGTGTGTCTGACTTCATGAATTATTCAACAGCAGTTGACAAGGTGTGTCTGACTTCATGAATTATTCAACAGCAGTTGACAAGGTGTGTCTGACTTCATGAATTATTCAACAGCAGTTGACAAGGTGTGTCTGACTTCATGAATTATTCAACAGCAGTTGACAAGGTGTGTCTGACTTCATGAATTATTCAACAGCAGTTGACAAGGTGTGTCTGACTTCATGAATTATTCAACAGCAGTTGACAAGGTGTGTCTGACTTCATGAATTATTCAACAGCAGTTGACAAGGTGTGTCTGACTTCATGAATTATTCAACAGCAGTTGACATGTGTACATATTACTTCAACTACCTCAACTAGCCGGTGCCCCCGCACATTGACTCTGCTCCGGTACCCCCCTGTATATATAGCCTCCCTACTGTCACTTTATTTTACTGTATATATAGCCTCCCTACTGTTATTTTATTTTACTTCTGCTCTTTTTTTTCTCAACACTTTTTTTGTTGTTGTTTTTATTTTTACTTTTTTTGTTAAAAATAAATGCACTGTTGGTTAAGGGCTGTAAGTAAGCATTTCACTGTAATGTCTGCACCTGTTGTATAGTCGGCGCATGTGGCCAATACAATTTGATTTGATTTGATTTGAAGGTTTTTCTAGCTCTGAGGCCTATAATGGGCTAATGTTGTTGTCAAATGGACAATGGGCCAGTCCTCTCCAACCTGGCATGGTATAATATGATACTGAATCTTTTCTTCATTTATAGATGAATCAATGCTGATAAATAGGCTGTGGACATGCCACATGTATTTGTTTTCTATTTTAATGATTGTTAATTTCATACTATGGCACAGCTGTCCCCTTCATACTGTCCTGGTCAATTCATTATCGTATAGCCTACTTTCGGAAAGCCTAAGGTATGCCTATGTTTTTTTTATATAAGTTTTAAGGAAAATATAAATATTTGACATACGCTGGTGGCTTTTATTGACTGGATCTTTTGCGGGAGTGTGTGAGTTCGCTGATTCTCTTTATAGGCCTATATGTCCATTCACAGAGTTCCCTAAAGGAGCCTGTGTGGATTCCATCTCTTTAATAAGAATCAAACGCTCCTGTCTTGATTTAATCTTGTTAAATGCCTGTTTTCAGTAGCTTAGGCTACGTTATTTATCTTATTACGACATGCCAATGCCAATGCCATCGAATGACCGCAGCAGCAGGGTTTGTGACGTTATGCGAATATTCGGTAAATTTAGAAAAAAAAACATTGGACGTGTGAATGGATTTTTGCATCGAAATAGGATTTACTTTTTTTGATTAGCAGAAAAGCCAAAGGACTAATTAAGCATATCTTTATGCCGTCATGTGCTAATGTTGTGTCAATACGAAAATGCTGTAGATCCTCTCCAACCGGGCTTTTCTTGTTTGTTGATTAAATATTTACAAGTAATAACCTGAATAATAATATTAATAATAATAGCTTGTTTCAAATAGGTTTTATTAAGAAACATATCCATGTAAACAAGTGTACTAACAGAATTGTGACGTCCCCTTTTACACAGGGCCTTGTAGGCCTAAGACAGCATTAACATACTTTTAAACAAAATGGCTGCATACCAAAAATACATGGAAAGAAAAGGAGAAACCAGTAACCAAATGGCACCCTATTCCATTTATAGTGCACTTCTTTCACCTAGACACCATAGGAAATATGGTGCCATTTGGGAATCATCTATTATTTAATCATCCTTCATGTTCTATGAGTCATAGTCAATGTCCAGTGGTTTGGTTTGGTCTGGTCTGGTCTGGTTTGGTCTGGTTTGGTCTGGTCTGGTTTGGTCTCGTCTGGTTTGGTCTGGTTTGGTTTGGTTTGGTTTGTTCTGGTTTGGTCTGGTTTGGTCTGGTCTGGTTTGGTCTGGTTTGGTTTGGTTTGGTTTGGTCTGGTTTGGTCTGGTCTGGTTTGGTCTGGTCTGGTTTGGCTAACTGTATTAAAACATGTCTCCTATTTCCCCTCCCAGGAGTTGGACCAGCAAAAGTTCATCTACACCAAGGGTTGTGTGGGCCAGTTCGAGAGGTGGCTTCAGGACAACCTGATCATTGTAGCTGGGGTCTTTGTGGGCATTGCACTTTTACAGGTAAGCAGGACTCCCAGAGACATTATTTCAGAAATGTTCAGTACCAGTCAAAAGTTTGGACACACCTACTCATTCAAGGGGTTTTCTTTATTTTTACTATTTTGTACATTGTCAAAATATATTTTATATTTGAGATTCTTCAAAGTAGCCACCCTTTGCCCTGATGACAGTTTTGCACACTCTTGGCATTCTCTCAACCAGCTTCATGAGGTAGTAACCTGGAATGCATTTCAATTAACAGGTGTGCCTTGTTAAAAGTTAATTTGTGGAATTTCTTTCCTTCTTAATGCGTTTGAGCCAATCAGTTGTGTTGTGACAAGGTAGGGGTGGTATACAGAAGATAGCCCTATTTGGTAAAAGACCAAGTCCATATTATGGCAAGAACAGCTCAAATAAGCAAATAGAAATGACAGCCCATCATTACTTTAAGACATGAAGGTCAGTCAGTCCGGAATATTTCAAAAACGTTCAAAGTTTCTTCAAGTGCAGTTGCAAAAACCATCAAGGGCAATGATGAAACTGGCAATCATGAGGACCGCCACAGGAATGGAAGACCCAGAGTTACCTCTGCTGCAGAGGATAAGTTCATTAGCGTTACCAGCCTCAGAAATTGCAGCCCAAATAAATGCTTCACAGAGTTCAAGTAACAGACACATCTCAACATCAACTCTTCAGAGGGGACTGCGTGAATCAGGCCTTCATGGTTGAATTGCTGCAAAGAAACCACTACTATATCATGATAAGCTGTAGACCACACTATTTACCAAGATCATTTTCATCTATATTTTTCGTAGCTGTCTATTTACCACCACAAACCAATGCAGGCACTAAGAGTGCACTCAATGAGCTGTATAAGGCCATAAGTAAACAGGAAAACGCTCATCCAGAGGCAGTGCTCCTAGTGGCCGGGGACTTTAATGCAGGGAAACTTAAATCCGTTCTACCTCATTTCTACCAGCATGTTAAATGTGCAACCAGAGGAAAAAAAACTCTAGACCACCTTTACTCCACACACAGAGACGCATACAAAGCTCTCCCTCGCCCTCCATTTGGCAAATCTGACCATAACTCTATCCTCCTGATTCCTGCTTATAAGCAACAACTAAAGCAGGAAGCACCAGTGACTCGGTTAATAAGGAAATGGTCAGATGACACAGATGCAAAGCTACAGGATTGTTTTGCTGGCACAGACTGGAATATGTTCTGGGATTCTTCCTATAGCATTGAGGAGTACACCACATCAGTCACTGGCTTCATCAATAAGTGCATCGATGACGTCATCCCCACAGTGACCATACGTACATACCCCAACCAGAAGCCATGGATTACAGGCAACATCCGCACTGAGCTAAAGGGTAGAGCTGCCGCTTTCAAGGAGCGGGACTCTAACCTGGACGCTTATAAGAAATCTCGCTATGTCCTCCGACGAACCATCAAACAGGCAAAGAGTCAATACAGGACTAAGATTGAATCGTACTACACCGGCTCTGACGCTCGTCGGATGTGGCAGGACAAAACTATTACAGACTACAAAGGGAAGCACAGCCACGAGCTGCCCAGTGACACGAGCCTACCAGACGAGCTAAATTACTTCTATGCTCGCTGAAACACTGAAACATGCATGAGAGCACCAGCTGTTCCGGATGACTGTGTGATCACGCTCTCCGTAGCCGATGTGAGTAAGACCTTCAAACAGGTCAACAATCACAAGGCCGCAGGACCAAACGGATTACCAGGACGTGTACTCCGGGCATGTGCTGACCAACTGGAAAGTGTCTTCACTGACATTTTCAACATGTCCCTGACTGAGTCTGTAATACCAACATGTTTCAAGCAGTCCACCATAGTCCCTGTGCCCAAGAGTACTAAGATAACCTGCCTAAATGACTACCGACCCATAGCACTCACGTATGTAGCAATGAAGTGCTTTGAAAGGCTGGTCATGGCTCACATCAACACCATTATCCCAGAAACCCTCTCCAATTTGCATACCGCCCCAACAGATCCACAGATGATGCAATCTCTATTGCACTCCACACTGCCCTTTCCCACCTGGACAAGAGGAACACCTACGTGAGAATGCTATTCATTGACTACCATCTCAGCGTTCAACACCATAGTGCCCTCAAAGCTCATCACAAGCTCATCATTAGGACCCTGGGACTAAACACCTCCTTCTGCAACTGGATCCTGGACTTCCTGACGGGCTGCCCCCAGGTGGTAATGGTAGGTAACAACACATCTGCCACGCTGATCCTCAACACGTGGGCCCCTCAGGGGTGCGTGCTCAGTCCCCTTCAGTGTTCATTCATGAATGCATGGCCAGGCACGACTCCAACACCATCATTAAGTTTGCCGATGACACACCAGTGGTAGGCCTGATCACCGACAACGATGAGACAGCCTATAGGGAGGAGGTCAGAGATCTGGCCGTGTGGTGCCAGTATAACAACCTCTCCCTCAACGTGATCAAGACAAAGGAGATGATTGTGTACTACAGGAAAAAAAAGAGGACTGAGCACGCCCCCATTCTCATCGACGTGGCTGTAGTGGAACAGGTTGAGAGCACCTTGGTGTCCACATCACTAACAAACTATCATGGTCCAAACACACCAAGACAGTCGTGAAGAGGGCACGACAAAGCCTATTCCCCCTCAGGAGACTGAAAACATTTGGCATGGGTCCTCAGATCCTCAGGACCATCGAGAGCATCCTGACTGGTTGCATCACCACCTGGTATGGCAACTGCTCGGCCTCCGACCGCAAGGCAATACAGAGGGTAATGCGTACGGCCCAGTACATCACTGGGGCCAAAAATTGTCAAAGACTCCAGCCACCCTAGTCATAGACTGTTCTCTCTGCTACCGCACGGCAAGCGGTACCGGAGTGCCAAGTCTAGGTCCAAAAGGCTTCTTAACAGCTTCTACCCCAGAGCCATAATACTCCTGAACAGCTGATCATGGCTACCCAGACTATTTGCAATGTCCCCCCACCCCACCCGCGCTTTTACGCTGCTGCTACTCTGTTAATTATTTATGCATAGTCACTTTAACTCTGCCCACATGGACATATTACCTCAACTACCTCAACTAGCCGGTGCCCCCGCACATTGACTCTGCACCGGTACCCCCCTGTATATATAGCCTCCCTACTGTTATTTTATTTTACTGCTGCTCTTTAATTTTTGCTATTTTAATTTTTTTCTTGAACTGCATTGTTGGTTAATGGCTTGTAAGGAAGCATTTCACTGTAAGGTCTACACCTGTTGTATTTGGCGCATACATTTTTGGCAAATAAAATTTGATTTGATTTAAAGGACACCAATTAGAATAAGAGACTTGCTTGGGCCAAGAAACACGAGCAATGGACATTAGACCGGTGGAAATCTGTCCTTTGGTCTGATGAATCCAAATTTGAGATTTTTGGTTCCAATAGCTGTGTCTTTGTGAGACGCAGGGTAGGTGAACGGATGATCTCTGCATGTGTGGTACCCACCGTGAAGCATGGAGGAGGAGATGTGATGGTGTGGGGGTGCTTTGCTGGTGACGATGTTGGTGATTTATTTAGAATTCAAGGCACACTTAACCAGCATGGCTACAACAGCATTCTGCAGCGATACGCCATCCCATCTGGTTTGGGCTTAGTGGGTCTATCATTTGTTTTTCAACAGGACAATGACCCAACACACCTCCAGGCTGTGTAAGGGCTATTTGACCAAGAAGGAGAGTGATGGAGTGCTGCATCAGATGACCTGGCCTCCACAATCACACGACCTCAACCCAATTGAGATGATTTGGGATGATTTGGACCGCAGAGTGAAAGAAAAGCAACCAACAAGTGCTCAGCATATGTGGAAACTCCTTCAAGACTGTTGGAAAAGCATTCCAGGTGAAGCTGGTTGAGAGAATGCCAAGAATGTGCAAAGCTGTCATCAAGGCAAAGGGTGGCTACTTAGAAAAATCTAAAATCGATTTTGATTTGTTTAACACTTTTTTGGTTACTACATGATTCCATGTGTGTTATTTCATATTTTTGATGTCTTCACTGTAGAAAATAGTAAAAAATAAAGAAAAACCCTTGAATGATTAGGTGTGTCCAAACTGTTGACTGGTACTGTATATTTAAAGAGTCAGCTTTTGTGTGAATCAGATAAATAATGTCTGCATTTGCAGTCACCGTCATGGCTGGAAGTCAGGGTTTCCTTTAGCCGGCAATTACCGACTTTTAGCCCCAAAAAATAATATGATAGCCGATAAATAAAACTGTTGCCGGCCAAAATGACCTGACAAAAACAATCCCTATATAATGCTTTTTATTAATTGATGGAAATACCAGTCGATGGAAATACTTTTGACCATCATGCTTATCAGTCTATAGGTTAATATGCATCATTTATTGGAATTAAATTGGCCTGTGTGTATTTTTGTTAGTCATCATGTATCTTATTTATTGACTGGTCCTTTTACGGGGGTGAGTTTGCTGATTCTCTCTCTAGGCCTATACAGTGCATTCGGAAAGTATTTCAGACCCCTTGACTTTTTGCACATTTTGTTACATTACAGCCTTATTCTAAAATGTATCAATTTAATTATTTTCCTCATCAATTTACACACAATACCCCATAATGACAAGGCGAAAACAGGTTTTTAGAACTTTTGCAAAAAACTGAAACCTTATTTACATAAGTATTCAGACCCTTTGCTATGGGACTCGAAATTGAGCTCCGGTGCATCCTGTTTCAATTGATTATCCTTGAGATGTTTCTACAACTTGATTGAAGTCCACCTGTGGTAAATTCAATTGATTGGACATGATTTGGAAAGGCACACACCTGTCTATATAAGGTCCCACAGTTGACAGTGCATGTCAGAGCAAAAACCAAGCCATGGTGTCGAAGGAATTGTCCGTAAAGCTCCGAGACAGGATTGTGTCGAGGCACAGATCTGGGGAAGGGTACCAAAAAATGTCTGGAGCGTTGAAGGTCCCCAAGAACACAGTGGCCTCCATCATTCTAAAACGGAATATGTTTGGAACCACCAAGACTCTTCCTAGACCTGGCCACCCGGCCAAACTGAGCAATCAGGGGATAAGGGCCTTGGTCAGGGAGGTGACCAAGAACCCGATGGTCACTGACAGAGCTCCAGAGTTCCTCTGTGGATGTGGGAGGCCTTTATGGTAGAGTGGCCAGACGGAAGCCACTCCTCAGTAAAAGGTACATGACAGCCCGCTTGGAGTTTGCCAAAAAGCACCTAAAGGACTCTCAGACCATGAGAAACAAGATTCTCTGGTCTGATGAAACCGAGATTGAACTCTTTGGCCTGAATGCCAAGCGTCACGTCTGGAGGAAACCAGGCACCGCTCATCACCTGGCTAATACCATCCCTACGGTGAAGCATGGTGGTGGCAGCATCATGCTGTGGGGATGTTTTTCAGTGGCAGGGACTGGGAGACTAGTCAGGATCAAGGGAAAGATGAACGGAGCAAAGTACAGAGAGATACTTGATGAATACCTGCTTCGGAGTGCTCAGGACCTCAGACTGGGGCAAAGGTTCACCGTCCAACAGGACATCAACCCTAAGCACACAGCCAAAACAATACTTGGTGGCTTCGGGACAAGTCTCTGAATGTCCTTGAGTGGCCCAGCCAGAGCCCTGACTTGAACCCGATCGAACATCTCTGGAGAGACCTGAAAATAGCTGTGCGGTGACTCTCCCCATCCAACCTGACAGAGCTTGAGAGGATCTGCAGAGAAGAATGGGAGAAACTCCCCCAAATACAGGTGTGCCAAGCTTGTAGCGTCACACCGAAGAAGACTCGTGGCTGTAATCGCTGCCAAAGGTGCTTCAACAAAGTACTGAGTAAAGGGTAAATATTCTTATGTAAATGTAATATTCGAACAACCTGTTTTTGCTTTGTCATTATCGGATATTGTTTGTAGATTGATGAGGTAAAAAAAAGCTATTTAATCCATTTTAGAACAAGACTGTAACGTAACAAAATGTGGAAAAAGTAAAGTGGTCTGAATACTTTCAGAATATTCCGAAAGTTTCCTAAAGGAGGCTGTCTGGTCTCCATCTCGTTAATAAGAATCAAACTCTCTTGTCATGATTTAATCTTGTAAATGGCCTATTTTCAGTAGCTTAGGCTACATTATTTCTCTCATTACGGCGTCCTGTCTTTGAAGAACATGTGCCAATGCCACATCCATCAAATGACCGAAATGTAAAAGTCAACTAATGCGAGAACACCATCCTCTGCCATATGGACGCATTGATACACCGTGATCCATTGGCGGATAAAGAAATGAGCGCATGGAACTCACAGCCTATAAGCCAACGCAGCAGTAGGACCAGAACTTCCACACCGAGGATTGGTGATTATCGAGGGGCAGATTGTTGGAAAGATTTTTAAAATAGCTTACTGTGAGGAACTATAGTTTCAAAATATTATCATACGCAATGGAAGTTAAAAAAAACAACAACGATTTCCTACATTTCCGCGCAGCAGGCCAGGTACTCAGGCGTTCACGATCCCTCAACATTATCAGGACAGAGAAACCAGACACATGAGCACTCCAAACATTTTATTTTTTTACAAATCTCGTAAATGATGGGGCAACAGTTCACACAATGAAACAATGAATGTGAAATAATTGATGGAAGAGAGCTGAGCCATTCTGGAATGAGACGTCTCTTCTACCTCACACCGCCTCCCCTTCTTCTTGCCTCAACGTTTTAAAGTTATACTCGAGACATTATCTTCACACACATTTGAGATACTTTTCACTGACAGCCTCAACTCAATAATCAGCTAGGCCTATTGCCAATGGCGCTCTGCCCATATTGTGTGCTTCCCAAATAGGCATACGAGCTTTTGATTTGAAACAATCCACTGCTTTAAAAAAAAAAAAAAAAAAAACAAGCTAATGATCCTCAATGTTTTTTTTTGGGAGGGGGGCGAAGTATTGTGAATGATTTTCATTTTTTCTGTATAGACAGGAGTAATTATATAATTTTGGCAAATGTATTTCTATTGACTTTCCTATTGGACCCAGCACTATGCCATTTCTCTCCTGTTCTATTGGTTTTCATATCAACTTTCTTTCATTGTCCAGAAGCCATAATCCTCCTAGATTGTTGCATCTTTAGATTCCCCCTCTTTCTAATCTTCAAACAGAGATTTTCATTTTCATCTCTGTCAGATATGGATCCTCTTTCAGCTGTGCAGTTTAGAATGGTGTTTTTCCCACGAATTGCATTTTGGCAAATGTTTGAAAAATTACATTTTATTGGCTGCTTCATTACAGGAGTTGCATGTTCTCTTAAGAGCTATTACCATAATCAAAATGTGATTTCTGTCATTCTGAGCACTGTGGGTAGATGACCTAATGGGTTTATGCACCCAATGCATATGGGTCCGGTACATTTCTGAAATGGGCGTTAAATTAAAATCTTCTCGGTCATATTGTCCGCCGCCACATTTTCCGAACGGAAACCCTGCTGGGAGTGTGTATTTAATTTGAGGCTGCCATCTGGTGGCGAGAATCATGATTACATCCTTTTCCTTGTGTGTCACTCTAAATCAGAGAACCTTCGATGCTTTAAATGTCAGTTGGCTACGTGCCAGAGGCAGTTACTTAACCTGTGATGTCATTTCCTGTTTAGATATTTGGGATCTGCCTGGCTCAGAACCTGGTGAGTGACGTCAAGGCTGTGAAGGCCAACTGGTGACACCAGGACCCTGGGGGAGTACTCTGACCTTTTGACCCCAACATCCAACTCACCTCCCGCAGAACCGCTCAGAGGCTGAGAGGTGAAAACACAAAGAGCTGTTTACCTCTGATCCTGCCAGGCTCGGGAACTACCACACACACACACACACACACACACACACACACACACTGTTAATTGCCAAGCTGTGCTGGGGACATACACAAGAACACATGGACACACGGGACTCCTGTGGATGTGTAGCTAAGCTGATCTGAAGAACTGGGGAGATGAATAGAAATAGAAATAAATAATAAATAAATAGATAGGGGACCTGGATCAAAGCTGATGAGAGGAGAGATACAACTGTCTTCTTTTATTCTGTATCACCTGGTGTCTCCTCAACCGTACTACCACTAGGATATCAAACTCCCCTTCAGAAAGGCCTTCCAGGGCTGGTTGTTAGATACCTACTAACCCACTTTTACAGCCTTTCTGTCTTCTGTACAGTACAGATGCTATACTGCTGTCTGACCTACTGGCTGGCTGACAGGATGGCATTTCTTCCCTTATTATTTTTGTCTGTCTGTCGATGTTTTGAGTTTAATCAAGCAGACAGACGGGTGGAGAGATGATGTTGTTTCTCTCTCAGCATCTCTGAAGCTCGGGGCCTTTTACTTGATCTAAACTTTAACCTTCTACTGACCTTGAGTCTATGTTATACTGTGTTTATTCTTCTGGTATCCCACCACTACCTTTTGGAAGCTTTAATTACATTACACCTGTCTGATCTGTCTGATCTGTCTGATATGGTTGATCTGTCTGATCTGTGATATGGTTGATCTGTCTGATCTGTGATATGGTTGATATGGTTGATCTGTCTGATCTCTGATATGGTTGATCTGTCTGATCTGTCTGATCTGTCTGATATGGTTGATCTGTCTGATCTGTCTGATATGGTTGATCTGTCTGATCTGTCTGATATGGTTGATCTGTCTGATATGGTTGATCTGTCTGAAATTTTTACTTTTCTCCCCTCATTTTTTCTACTAGTGTTTGTTGTCTGTCTGTCTGTCTTTCTTAGTTGGACTGGTTTTTAATCTGTTTGTATATAATAACAATTACTTGTTAATATCTTTATATATAAATAGTAACACATTTTCTCAATATAACACGAATGCTGCTTTATCATTGTAACTTCTTAGAGGGTTGATATTAGTAAGTAGTGTTTCCAGTACATTCCCCATGTTTTTCCAGAACTCCTGGTTGTGGGATTCCGTATTTCCTGTTTATTCCTTCCTGATTCCGGGAATCTTCCAACCGGGATTTCTGGGAATTTTGGGAATTTGGGGAAAGTTAATTACATTTTTCAACACTATTAGTATGTTATCAGTAACCAGGTCCAAAGCTTACATGGTCAAATGAAAATGAATGCCATATTATTATTATTATTCTGATCTTTATTATAACAGATAACGTGTGGGTTGTGTCATATTAATGTTTTTTACTTGCTTATTACATTGTAAATACAGAGTTTACACTTTGTGCATACCAGTATATTTTAAGCACATTATCAGATGTGTAGCAGTATATGGTTTGAATTGAATAAATAGTATTTATTGGGATTTTGGGGATTTTAAATGATGTCTGGCATGAAGACATTCCCTGCAGCTTCCGTCTGCTCCCCAGTGGCTGCCCAAAATGTCAGATCTTCTACCCAATTATTCCTCTCGTCGAGGTCCCATAGATACACCCTACCAATGTCTCGCTCTTCCTGTGGTATGAACAGGGCCAATGTGTTAGGAGCTGCAGTGTAACTCATCTTGGAGATCCTCCCTGGTTGGCTGATGTTTTAATAACAGGCTTGATTCTGTGTCATTTACTTCCTTGCTTGTCAGAGAATTCCATGTCCCGCTCTTATATGCTGCCGTTCAGCAGCGTGGGCCCTGGGTTTTTTAGGGAACGCTCTACTGTCGTTCCTCAAATAGCCTCGAACAATGGTTTGCCTGTATATGAGAACAGGCCAGGTTTTTATGCTAAAGATTACTCTTGACATTAGAACATGATATTTGTTCTAAAGGTCCAACTCAGCTGTTTTTATCTCTATCAAATCATTTCTGGGTATCAATTAAATACCTTACTGTGATTTGTTTTCAATTAAAATTGTCCCCCCAAATAAAGATGCTTCTTAGCAAAGAGCAATTTCTGAAGCAAGAATTTAGCTAGGACTGTCTGGGAGTGGTCTGAGTAGGGGAGGGGGAAACCTGAAAACCAGCTGTTATTGGCAGAGGTTTGGAACTCTTTTTTTTTTTATTGGTCACCAGGCAGGCCAAAACAGGCTACATGTTTTTACTGGACCTTTTGAAATTCTGCTTTAGTTTTTAGTTTTTTTGTTTACCTGCCATAGGTTGCTGAATTTGTTTTGTCCTTCTGATCATGATGATGGCCTTGCAACATGATACCTTGTGATGTTTCATATTTTCTCAGAGGGTGTGTCCCAAATTCACCCCTATTCACTATATAGTATTCTCTATCGATCGCTCCATACAACCGTCTGAAACCTGCACAAGTCCTTTGTGCTAATGTCAAAATGACGTGATTTATTATTTGTGTAGGACAAATCTGGTCCAACCCATCACTTTCTTGGACCAATCAGAACGGTTTGAAATGTGATTGCGTTTGAGAAGTCGTCGGGGGGGGAGGAAGCAAATCCAGAAACCTTAGTGGGCGTTGCGTCTGGCTGGAGCCATGTGGATGGGTAGACAAGCAACTATATAGTGACTCTAGTCAAAAGTAGTGCACTATATAGGGAATAGGATGCTATTTCGGACACACCCTTCTCTCCCTAAGAGAGATTACATCATTCCCGAGGGGGAGGAGCCTCCTGCATATCATGAAAGTATACCTATGGATCAATCTCAATTGTATTACCTTGATTCCTCCCCATACTCTCTCCTTGCCTCCTTCTCCAGTGAAAACACGTGGAAGGAGGAGTTCCAATGTGCCAGATCGAGATTCAACCTGTCTGTTACCATCGGTTACTAAGACCTGTTCCAATTCACCCTACCATGTCATCTCTACCCTTTAGCAGTGCAATGAACACACATCTGATGTGAAAAAAGAAATGTGAATAAAAAAAAAACTAAGATCTGTTATTATGTTAGACGATAAATCATTACAAACTTTAGCGTTATTTCATATTTTGTACATGAAATCAAATATTTACATTCCATTTTCAGGTGCTTGGTTTACTTCCCTTCACTTCCTGTGTTACTTCCTGTGTATGTGTCATCTCCAACCACTTCATCTCAGAAAAAAAAGAATCTGCAACATTTTTTGTGTGTTTTTCACATTGACACATTGCGTCATGAATGATTGCTAGATTTCTATGCACATCTGTACCTAAGTGGGGCTGTAGGCCTACCCAAGTTCCTGCTATCAGCTACCCAAGTTCCTGCTGTCAGCTACCCAGGTTCCTGCTGTAGGCCTACCCAAGTTCCTGCTGTCAGCTACTGTCTTCTTCTCATAGATAATACTGATCTGTTATAGATACACAACGTTGTCTCTGTGTTTTTAGGTTCACATCCGTGTGCATGACTGAATTATTTCTCTGTTTTGTAAAATAAAAGTATATCTGTGGTTACTTACTGCTGTCATTAACTTACCCATTTGTTTTTTGTGTGATTTTTTTGTGTGTATTGAATCTCAAAGCCTTTTTAAGATATTTTCTTTACTTTCCCCCCATACAGTGAGGGGAAAAAAGTATTTGATCCCCTGCTGATTTTGTAAGTTTGCCCACTGACAAAGACATGATCAGTCTATAACGTTAATGGTAGGTTTATTTGAACAGTGAGAGACAGAATAACAACAAAACAATCCAGAAAAACGCATGTCAAAAATGTTATAAATTGATTTGCATTTTAATGAGGGAAATAAGTATTTGACCCCCTCTCAATCAGAAAGATTTCTGTCTCCCAGGTGTCTTTTATACAGGTAACGAGCTGAGATTAGGAGCACACTCTTAAAGGGAGTGCTCCTAATCTCAGCTTGTTACCTGTATAAAAGTCACCTGTCCACATAAGCAATCAATCAATCAGATTCCAAACTCTCCACCATGGCCAAGACCAAAGAGCTCTCCAAGGATGTCAGGGTCAAGATTGTAGACCTACACAAGGCTGGAATGGGCTACAAGACCATCGCCAAGCATCTTGGTGAGAAGGTGACAACAGTTGGTGCGATTATTCGCAAATGGAAGAAACACAAAATAACTGTCAATCTCCCTCGGCCTGGGGCTCCATGCAAGATCTCACCTCGTGGAGTTGCAATGATCATGAGAACGGTGAGGAATCAGCCCAGAACTACACGGGAGGATTTTGTCAATGATCTCAAGGGAGCTGGGACCATAGTCACCAAGAAAACAATTGGTAACACACTACGCCGTGGTTAGATGAGACCAAAATCGAGCTCTTTGGCATCAACTCAACTCGCCGTGTTTGGAGGAGGAAGAATGCTGCCTATGACCCCAATAACACCATCCCCACCGTCTAACATGGAGGTGGAAACATTATGCTTTGGGGGTGTTTTTCTGCTAAGGGGACAGGACAATTTCACCGCATCAAAGGGACGATGGACGGCGCCATGTACCGTCAAATCTTGGGTGAGAACCTCCTTCCCTCAGCCAGGGCATTGAAAATGGGTCGTGGATGGGTATTCCAGCATGACAATGACCCAAAACACACGGCCAAGGCAACAAAGGAGTGGCTCAAGAAGAAGCACATTAAGGTCCTGGAGTGGCCTAGCCATTCTCCAGACCTTAATCCCATAGAAAATCTGTGGAGGGAGCTGAAGGTTCGAGTTGCCAAACGTCAGGCTCGAAACCTTAATGACTTGGAGAAGATCTGCAAAGAGGAGTGGGACAAAATCCCTCCTGAGATGTGTGCAAACCTGGTGGCCAACTACAAGAAACGTCTGACCTCTATGATTGCCAACAAGGGTTTTGCCACCAAGTACTAAGTCATGTT